GTATATGGGGAGTATGAAAGTTGTCTAGAGGCCTAGAAAAGCTCTGAGATGATTCACATTAAGCTCTCAGCAGTGATTTCCTCAGAGGAGTCACGTGATGAGTTTTGTTTTTATCATTTATTTTACTGGGTGAATTTTAAAATAATTAACATTTATGTAACAACACCAAACTGCATAACCATCTCATATGGCGTAACATGATTCAAGGCATTTTAGGAACTTGTGCTAGCCTTTTTCCCAGACTAATTCCCAGATTTATTTACATTAGGTAGGCAATTATGTACTTTTGTGTGATGGGAATCGTGGGTTGATTGTTGAAACTGGGTCATTCATTATGCCTACCTGCTTTGCAGCTGCTTCTGGTACTCAAAAGGACATGAAGTTCTTTTTGAAGAGAAGCTAGGGTATTTGTTCTTGCCCTTGAGGGCACGCCAGAATTAGTTCAGTCCTGTAGGTCTTCAAAGGAAGAGTTCATAATTCTTTCCCATTACTTAATCATTTTAGCTTTACTGGCTTTAAAAGTATCTATATTTACCTTGCTCAGAGTTTATTTTCTTTCTATGATGCCAGAAAGAGCCAGCAAAATAGATAGTAAGTTTACTAACGGGCCAGTTTTTTCTAAAAATCTTCCTCACATTCTCCAAAGAATTTAAGATACAAACTGCAACAGCTACTTAACTGTTAAAGTTAATACAGGTAAAATAACTTTGATAGGAAGAATGCCCTAAACATTTAAAGGTGCCAATTTCTAAATTCTAAACGTTTTTGTATTTGTCCTTGTCATTTTCTAGTCACTTGCTTTTGTTTGTTTGAAGCTCAGGAACACAAACAAAACAAAACAAAAAAACAAGAAACTGTCATTTCTTTTTTCTTTTTTTTTTTTTTTTACCTTGAGAATAAAAAGGAAAGTACATATGTAACTCTTATGATTCTGGCTAGGAATCTATTCATAGAGCTTGGTAGAAGAGAAGACAATGAACCCAAATGTTTGAGCAAATAGACTTGGTAGATGTCTATAGAGTGGTCCACCCACCAACATCAGAATACGCATTCTTCCTAGCTGCAGGTGGGACATTCTCCAAAATTGACCTATACTTGCTCATAGAACATGCTTAAGTAAATGCAAAGGAACTGAAGTTATCCCATGCATACTATCAGACCATAGCACAATGAAATGGAAATGCAAGCCAAAGGAAACCACAAGAACTTTCAAAAACACATGGAAATTAAACAGCACTCTACTGAACATCCAATGGGTCACATATGAAATTAAAGAAAAATTAAGACAGTTTTTACTCTTGAACGATAACAACATACTGGAACTTGTGGGACACAATGAAAGCTGTCTGAAGACGGAAATTTACAGCAGTAAATACCCATATCAGGAAAACAGATCAAGCAATAGAAACAACTTAAAGTTAAATCTCAAATTTCTAAAAGAGCAGGCTAAGACAAAAGCTCATACAAAGGAGGAAATTATAAAGATCAGAGCAGAAATTAACATACTGGAAACTAAAAAAAAAAATACAAAGAATGAATCAAAGAGTTGGTTCTTTGAAAGGTTAAATAAAATTGATAAACCGTTAGTCAACCTAATCAAAAAAAGGAAAAAGACTCAAATCCAGGCAAATACGAATGAAAAAAGTAAAATTACAATAGACCCTACAGAAAATCAGAAAACCATCTATATTTACTTTGAAAACTTGTATTCTAACAAGATGGAAAATACACAAGAAACAGATAGATTCATGGATACATATGAATTACCAAAGCTGACTCAAGAAAATGTAAAAAGCCTAAATAAACCAATATCAACCAATGAAATTGAAGATGTAACTAAAAATCTATCAACAAAGAAAAGTTCAGGCCCTGATGAATTTACTGCTGAATTCTATGAAAAATTTAGTAAATACCTAACATCACCACTTCTCAAACTCTTTAATAAAATTGAATGGGAAGCAATACTTCCAAATTCATTGGAAGCAAGCATTACTTGGATTTGAAAACCAGAGAAAAACCAAACTAAGAATGAGCATTACAGGCCAATCTCCTTTATAAATATTGATGCAGAAATCCTCAAAAGATACTAGCAAATAATGCAGCAAATCATCAAAAAGATTGTACACCATGATCAAGTGTGATTCATCCTAGGGATGCAGAGATGGTTCAATATATGTGAATCTACAAATGTAATACATCATATTAACAGAGCCAAAGACAAAAATCATATGATTATTGCAATAGATGCAGAAAAAGCTTTTGCAAAGCCCAGCACCCATTCATGATAAAACTCTACAGAAAACTGGATAAAAACTGATAGTTTTTATCTTAATCTGATAAAAGCCATCTATGGCATACCAACAGCTAACATCATACTAAATGAACAAAAATTGAAAGTTTTTACTCTAAAATCAGGAACAAGACAAGGATATCCACTGTTCCCACTCCTATTCAACACAGTCCTGGAAACTTCAGCCAGAGAAATTAGACGAGAAAGAAATAAAAATAAAGATGGGAAAGCATGAAGTTATTGTTATACTATCATTATTTGGCAGATGACATGATACTCTACTAGGAAAATCCTAAACAATTCACCAAAAGACTTCTAGATTTAATAAGTAAATTCAGTATTATAACTGGATACAAAATCAACACTCAAAATTCAATAGCCTTCCTGTGCATGAATAACAAACTCACTGAGACAGAAACCAGAGAAATAATACCTTTTTACAACAGCATCCAAAAAAAAATGAAATACTTAGGATCAATCTAACAGGATGTAAAAGACCTCTACATTGAAAACTACAGTATTCTGAAAAAGGAGACCAAAGAAGATATTAGGAAATGGAGAGATATCCTGTGCTCTTGGGTAGAAGAACCAATATAGTGAAAATGGCCATACTTCCAAAACTGTTATACAGATTCAATGCAATCCTAATCAAAATTCCAATAGCATTGCACAGAATTAGAGAAAATGATCCTAAAATTCATCTAGAATGGGAAGAGACCTAGAACAGCAAAGGCAATCCTGGGCAACAAAGGCAAGACGGCGGGCATCACAATCTCTGACCTGAAATTATAAAGCTATAAAGCTACCGTGATAAAAAGTGTGGTACTAACAAAAAAAGACCTAGAGGTCAATGGGACAGATTGCAAGAAGCAGAAACAACTGCAAACACAATAAGCCACCTTCTCTTTGACAAAGGTGCCAAACACATTCACTGGAAGACAGCCTCTTTAATAAATGGTGCTTGAAAAACTGGCTCTACACATGCCTAAGATTAAAAGTAGACCCATGTCTTTTACCATGTCCTCAGCTAAAATCAGGATGGATCAAAGATCTTAATATTAAAACTGAAACATTAAATCTGCTGGAAAACAGAATAGGTAAAACTCTTAAAGACACTGGTGTAGGCAAAGACTTTATGAACAAAACCTCAACTGCATAAGAACTATTAACAAAGAATCTACAACTGGGATTTCACCCTACTGAAAGAGAAACTACCAACAGAGTGAAGAGACAACCCACGAAATGGGAGAAAATGTTCGCCAACTCTTCCTCAGACAAAGAATTACTATCGAGAACATATAAAGAACTCAAAAAAGTCAGTCCTTCTAGGTTTAAATACCCAGGCCACAAATGGCCATCTGATATGAATACATGCTTCTCAGATCAAGAAATATGAACAGCAAATAAACACATGAAAAAAAATGCTCAACATCACTGCTCATCTGAGAGATGCAAATTAAAACAATACTGAGATTCTACCTCACTTTGAAAGAATAGCTATTATCAAGAAATCAAGCAATAACAAATGCTGGAGGGGTTGTAGGGGAAAAAGGAACCCTTTCCCATTGTTGGTGGGAATGCAGACTGGTACAACCATTGTGGAAATCAGTGTGCAGATTCCTCGGAAAAACAGGATTGGAGGTCCCATTCAACCCAGCTATTCCCCTTCTGGGTTATCTTCCTTAAAGAATTTAAAACATCATACCACAGGGATATAAGTATATCCATATTTATAGCAGCACAGTTGGTAATAGCCAGATCTTGGAAACAACTTAAATGCACACTGAGTGAGGAATGGATAAAAAGAAGTGTTATTTTTATACAGTGGAGTACTACTCGGCCATAAAGAGCACAAGAATGATTTGGTGACAGTGTGTAATGTATGTACTATTGTTGCCCCCTGATTGACGTGTTTTGAAATTTTTTGTAGTTGTTTTTCCTTTTCTTCTTTTTTATCATTGTATACAATGGATTTGAAAAATAAAATGGATTAAAAAATAATGCCTGGTACAACATTACCACTATACCTTACTTTTTATCTCTTCCCCGCCCAGAAGAAAAAATAAATTCTTCTATATTTAACAGCTGGCTATCTTTTCTTGTCAATACACTGATTAATGGCTATGCAATTTTAAAGAAAAACATTTAATTACTGATTAATATACATTTACTGAGGGCAACTCACTCCACACAGTGCTGCAATGAGTGCCATTATTGATATCTCTATTTTCACTTGTGACATTTTTCCATAACAAACATTTTGCATTCACATATACTCACATAAAAAAGTAAACAAAGAATATACAGTTTTAAAAATTAACCATGTTTAAAAATTCACCCCTGGTGATCTTATCATTTTATTTAAATTAACTTCTAAAGTTATGAAATTTAGAAAAAAAAATGTTTAAAAGTTGAATAGCCGGGCGTGGTGGCTCATGCCTGTAATCCCAGCACTTGGGAGGCTGAGGCTGGAGGATCACTGTGAGTTGGAGACAGCCTGGGCTACAAAGTAAGCTCGAGGCCAGGCTGAACTGTATAATGAGACCCTGTCTCAAAAAGACAAAATAATAATAGTAATAATAAATAAAATTTGAATAGATCTATGTATACAACACACATTTATGAAGATCATGAAGCAACATTTTTCCAGAAAAAATTTAGGCCATATATAATTGTATCTATTAAATGAAATATGACTAATAAGAGAAAGAAGTCTTTAACATGTTTTTAATGAGAAGAATATACATTGTAATTATGCTCCATGATATTATGGAGCTATAGACATTAACAAACTTCAGTTAGTATAAAATAGTTATTGTCAATGTTTAGTCATCAATAGACACAAGAAAATGAAACATCACTTCATACAAGGCTCAGGTACCCTAAAATGCTATCTTAATTTCACACATGTTCTACACAAAATGATAAATACTTAAAAATCACAATGCAGGAAAAACACTGTAAGAAATATAGTTGTCCTTTATTCTTAAAGTTTGTCATTCAGGAATATCATGCTAGACATCAGAACCCAAACAAATTACGTTTCTTGAGGTTACAATGCTCCACAATATACAAGAAGTACTCTAAAATATCATGTCTGACAAGGATCCAAAGAGAAACTGAAAAAAAGGCTTTGAAAATATGAGATGGAAGAGGAAGATAACCAATTAGTCTGTGCTGATTTGTGCTGGGATGGCCTCCTGAAGTGATAGTCCTGACAAGAAGTCTACGGAGGGTGGGGTGCTCTCAGGTTTACCTAAAGGGCTTCCAGCACAGACACAGGCAGCTCTAAGGCACTCTGTCCAACGCTCTTCACTCTTCAATCCTTTACACGGACTCTTTGTCCTTTGAACATATTTTCTTTAATTTCTTCATAATGGCATACTACACATACTTTCTACTGTGTCACCCAAAATCCAAACCAAAAAAGTATTAAGCAAAACAATAGAATCTACCAGTCTGGTCAATTCTGAAAATACAAATTTTGGTTTACACACTAATCACAAGGCTCAGGCATATCCATCCCTCTTCTGTACACATTCTCACCTCCCCTGACATATTTATACCAATCTTAATTAGGGCAAATATGGAGTTTTAGCATCCTTTCCCCTTAACGAACAATTTGCCTATCAGCAAACTGTTTTGTTTGGGGACAATATTAGGAACTGTTTAAATCCTTGGTAAGAATCAACAAAACTATTACTAACTGTAGTAGGTTTCTGTAAGTATGCAAAGAAGAATTTATTTCCCTCATTTATCGCAGAAGGGAAAAAAGGGTATCTTAAAGAGGAAAAAAAACAGATTCGGAAATACAGTAACATATTAATACTGCAGTACAGCGGAGAAGGGAATGCTTACGGTCAACCTACCTTTCTGGGATGCTGTGGCATTAAAATCAAACATTCTCTCCCATTATTCTTTGTAAAACATTAATAGGTGCTTTCTATCAAGAGGGCAGGAAAGCCACTTGCACATTTTTCTTCAAAGGTAGGGAATTTCTTTTTGAAACGAGCATGACAGAAAGGAGTAGGCAGAGAAAGTTCATTCAAAGAGGTCCTGAAACATGCGCTGTCCCATGGCTATGTACGCTTCCTTCTCTTCTGGTGTCATCTGGGCCACCAGCTCTGGCCGCTGGCTCACTTCACTGTATGAGAATGGATGGCCAGCTACCATGACAACAGGATCATCTGCCACCTCTTCAAACTCTTCCTCATCTTCCTCATCCTCCTCCCGACGATGCATAGCCACAGTCACTGCTGGCCGGGGTGGAGAGTCGTCGTCTGACTCGCTGGTCTCACTTTCAGAGTCACTGGGATTGGTGGCAGCCACAGGAGCAGCTGCCCCCACAGAGCTGGCGGCGGCAGTGGGAGTCTTCTTCTCATGAATGAGGAGTGCGCGCATGACCTCCTCATTATCATCAGGCCCCGTGTGGCCTTCCTCGCGCTCCTGAAATGCATCCATGTCTAGGCCACCTGGGGGTTAAAACCCAGAAAGTCAACATACTTAACTGTAAAAAATCACTCTTTTATACTGAAACATACATTTAAATATGTTATATTTAAATAAATAATGATGTAATAACATGCAGATATCACTGATTATTTTGGGCCACTAACCACAAAAATATTTAAAATATTTCTCAAAAACTGGGGTCATACAGTATGATAGTGAACGACGTGGGTTTTGTAAGTAACAATGTGAATTTAAATCCTGGTTCTTCCACATGTACCGCCTTGAACAACTTACTTGAACTCTAAACTTCAGTACCTTTTCCGTAAAGCTGCATAAAAGGATCTACCACCTATGGGTTCTCATTAAAGACTTCATGCAAAAATGCCTATAGAGGACCAAGTATAATGTGACATAACATCAAATCAAAATATTGCTCATCCTGCCCAGAATCAAAGCCAATGAGTTACAATGAACCGCACCTGACACCATCACCTTACCGGCTCTCTCCCTTACTCATTCTGCTCCAGCCACAAGGGCCTCCACGATACTCCTTTACACACACGAAACACTCCGACGGCCTGTTCCCTCTCCCTGCAATATTCTTCCTTTAAGCAGTTAAACAACTAATGCCCTTACACCTTCCATGTCTCTACTTACATGTCACCTTATCAGTATTCACTTCTTCCCACACGTAGTTATTTTCTAACATACTGAATAAATGATGTCTATTGTCTTTGTCATGCTCTACCTTCCAAGGATGTAGAAGGTACACAAGATATTTATCCTTTTTTATTCACTGGTATCTCACACATCTAGCTAATGCTTGCCGTTGTTAGGCAATGAATATGTATTTAACGCATGAGTGAATAAATGGCAGTTTTATTTTCCTGAAGCAAACTAAGCATACTTTGAACTCCTTATGAAAAAGTATCTAAGTGAAAAGTATCTAACACCCTTCTCTCACCCCATACCTCCTAACATTTTGTGTACCCACCTTGACCAATACATTGCAGATAAAAAATGTAAGAACATTCATATTCTGCATTCTGATAACACCACACATTTGCCATTTGAAATATATAAAAAGGATTAAAAGTGTTTTTGAAACTTGATTTTATTTAAATATTGATGCTTATTAGCTTTGTAATTTTGCCTGTTACATTATCTCTGCTTCAATTTTCTCAAGTATAGAACAGGAAAAAATAATAGTATATACTTCGATGAAGTATTGTGGAGGCGGATTGATTGTGAGCTGTGTAGAATGAACCTTGTACTTGGGAAAGTGTTATCTACCATCATATCAAAGGAATGCACAAAGTAAAAGCGTCTTCTCATTAAAACATCAAAGTGGATTGGGTGGAACACTGGACATTTTGGAAAAAATGAGCTTTCAAGATAAGAATTTGGGTAATAAGAGAGAAAATGAGATCAGAGAAGAGAGGTTTATAACATTTATGTCAAAATGAGAATTAAAATTAAATTTAACTACTTCAAAACACCATCAAGGGCAGAACTTCCTCTCCCCAATTCTATTGCAATGCAGTATTTCGACAGAAAAGAAAAAAAAGCACAAGGAATACATGTCTCAAGAAAATAATTTCTAATAAAACGATGTTACAAAATAGTTTAATGTTACCAACAGTGTATTTTAAGTTATCTGTAAACTGAATATAAAGTTAAAGTAAAAAGCAAATTAGTTTTGTAAAGTAAGTAAGATTTCTGATAAAGATCCGAAGATGAAAAAAGGAATTATTTTATTAGAGAAGAAGATAACACAAAAGCAAGGAAAAATCGGCATATCTCTGGATGGCAAAGCAGAAGCATTAACAGTTGAATTTAGTAGTTATGAATTATAAAGAGGGTGCACCCTGCAAAACATGTAAGTTCACTGATGATGCAAGGTAGTTCTGGGGACTCACGGTCCAGCTGCAGCAAGAACTGCAGGAAGGGCTGAAGGCTGTGTAAGTGGGCAGAAAGGGGACAGGTCCACTTTATACAGATGCAAGGGAATCTGCCTACAGAAGCTTAAGTAAAAGCAGGAGAGACTCCTAAAGGGCCTCTGCAGGAGTTCCCGAAGTTCATGTCTTTAATATGCTTCTGGAACCAAAGCAACAAAATGTTAACTAAGCCCCCAAAAGACACTCTAAATAAAACCAACACCATTAAACATTAACCCCTCTATAAACATCATGTTCTGTTCTGGTCACTAGATCTTGAGAAATGTACACTATGACTAGAGACGGTCTGGAAAAAGACAAAATAAAAAACAGTGGGTAGAAGTGGTTTTGGGGAAGAGGACTACCTATAAGGAAAGCAGAATCAAAAGAAATTATAATTAACGGGAACGTCAGAGATGTCTGGGAAATTCACAAAGACGTTAACATTACTTCAAGTTTGAGGAAAACTAAGTGTAGGACAAACAAGACTCATTTCATACATTGATCAACTAGAACCCGTTCCACATCATGAAATTTAACAAAGATACAGCAGTATCTCGAGTCATTTCGTGAGCTTAATTCTTCCCATGATTCTGGCTGCAGAACTTGCTCTATGAATTGCAGTTGGGTGCACCGAGGTACCACTATAAATTTAGACATGACAGTATAGTATCTTGTCTTATGAAGAAAACTTGAGTTGACTAAATGACTTACTTACAACCTAAGTCATATTCTACTATTCTAGGAATTATAAATATAAAATGTTAAACATATGAGCTTAACAGTGTATAATATTGGTTAATAATAATGTCACTTAATTTTGTCCAAAGTAAAGGTTTGGTTGCTTCAAAAACAGGCAAGAAGCCAAGTTAGGAAAAACAAGTCCATTAAACAGCTTAATTAATATTTATTCTAGAATAACTTGAATCAAAATAAACTAAATATAAAGAGCTAATTAATAAAGTGGTTGTCAAGGAAAACATTTCTGGCTGGAATTAAAATATTGAAGAGAATTCCACTAGAGGTATCACCCACTTTACTATCACTACCTAAAATTCCATGCTACTTGAATAATGTCTGATACACACAGTATATTAAAAATAAATTTTAAAAAGGAAAAGAGGGCCCAGGATAGAGGTGCACATCTATAATCCCAGCCCTCAGGAAACTAGAACAGGAGGATCACAATGAGTTCAAGGCCAGCCTGGACCCTATCTTAAAAAATAAATCCATCAAATAAATAAATAAATAAAGTAAAATAGGAAAAGAGGTTAGAGGAAAGGCTAACACCTAAGTGGTTTTCAGTGTCTGATGATTCTTTAGCACTAAATAATCACTCAGGTAATATGCTAGTACTGACACATAACCTGGGAACGGTGGCTGATGAAGTCTAACCAGAGGTTCAGACTCCCTGTCCCCTCTGCCTTCTCACTTCTGAACAGTCTTTGTCTAGTCTTAGTCTCTCATTTCCTATCATTACCCAAAGTCTTGAATCCAGTTACCTAGAATTTAAAAGTAAAATCTTGCAGCTCTCACACTTAAGAAGATTATCATGCAATGCCTAATCCTTTTGGCTCACAGAAGTTTTCAAAACATACAATAAATTTTCTATCAATCTTCTTGGACTGTGAAAATCCTTAATCTTTTACACACACAGTATTTTTTATATGTATGTCAGGTAGCACAAATGCCTGATATTTGTGAAGAAAGAACATTAAGAATTTTGGATTTAAACCAGGTGTGGTGGGCCTGCAGTCCCAGCACTCTGAAGGCTGGGTGGGGCAGAAGGACTGTTTCGAGTTCAATACCAGCCTACGCTACAAGCGAGTGCAAATCCAGCCTGAACTACACTGTGATACCCTATCTCAAAAAGACCAAGAAAAAAAAAGACTTTTGGATCAGTATATACTTAATGACTTCCTATTCAGAAAAATAAAGTATACATAAATTAGGGAAATAGAAGATTAAAGAAGAGGTAAAATTGACCATCTTGAACATGAAAGCAGTTTCTAGGAAATAAAAATAAAGCCATGGTGACTTTAAAATTGAGTTTTAAAAAAGTATTTTGACTACACTGAAGAAGAACAATACAAATATACTGGTATACTTTAATGTTCATAGCTCAACTTCTTAATTCCTGATATAATACAATTGATTATTTTTATAAAATAGGAGCAATGAATGGTCAATAAAACTAAGAATTACCTGGGTAGTGTCCCACTAGATCAAGTTCATTTTCTACTGACCTAAAGACATTCATCTTTGCTGGTTTCTCTCTTACCTTCTTTCATCTCTTCAGAACTATATGACCCTTGGACAGTGCTCTCTCTCAGCCAAATGGGTCTCTCTTTGGCAGATTTCCCCTCCAGGGAGGCACGGTGGACATCTTCTTGGTCGTCCATGTTAATGACAACATTCTGCGTGTATAAGTCCTCATAGGAGGGCCCTCTGGTGGCCCACGCTTCCCGGTGGTGACCTCCTGCTTGGCCAGCAGCTCCAGCAGTACTGGCTGCTCTGTCCTTGCTGTATAAAAATAACAGAGGAGGACAGGAAAAAGAAAAATTAACATGTTGGTGTGGGAAAAGAAGAATGGCTAGAAAAGTGATCAAAGAAGTACCATAAATCAATGCTATCACAGGCATACACACTTTAACAATTCTGAGAAACATCTTCAATAACTCAGAGTGAAAGCTGTATGGATTAGAACAAAATCTTGTATTTACTACTATATTGCTAAACATTGAATTGTCTGGTGATTATAAAGGTGTTTTATTTTTTACAGATTGAACCCCAGACTCTCACACTGAGCTACATTCCCAGACAGGCAGGGTCTCACTGTCATTACGTTATAGGCTTGTACTTGTGAGTGTTGGGATTATAGGAATGCACCACCATGCCCAGCTACCACTGAGTTTTTACCGAGTGAGATGGGTGAATAAACCTATTTAGGGGAACAGAATGACATAATTCACTAAGAGGCAAAACCAAACACAAACTGCCTTAGTAACATCTTTCATGAGAAATTTGTTCAAAAAATAAAACTGAAACAAAATAAAACACATATTGTATTTTTCAAAGTATGCCCTCAACACAACCCAGAATAGTTGAAGGTGGTATGTGTACCAGTCAGGGAAGAAAAGAATTCTGCAAAGACTAGCTTCAATTTAGGATTAACATGATACTCTTACCACTCACCAAGTGAGACTTCTCTCTCCACAGCAGCCTCTTTCTCTCCCAAATGACACCTTTTATTGCCACACCTGAAATGATGCTGTTTCTATCCCACAGGGACTAGGATCTGTTTCTCCTTACCTTCCCACCCCATGACCGTCTTTGCCTGTTTGCATGTTATGGGTCTGATCAGAACTCATCTTTCTCTAGCCTCTCAGCTTCTCCCGTGTCTGAGTTAAGCCACATTTTCCATCTTTCTTCTGCTCTTTGTTGCTTTCACTCTCAATCTACTTCAAATTTGCCTGCTACTGATGCTTTCTGCATCAACTTCTATGCACAACTTTCCCTCTCTCTCTGTTTAGACAGCTATGATTTACCCCATCAACAATCTTCATGTTTCTCCAACTCCTGCTCACCCTAACATTTTGCTATATTTTTTGCAGCAACTACTAATTCTTGGCTTCACAGTTCTCCATGACATCTCTTCTATTTCGCTAGATCTTTTCCAAACATACAACAGTCTCCTATGAGGTTACTGTCTCATTCTTAATCTACCCAACATTTCATTTGTCTTCTTATAAGCCTTTTAACATTCCTCCTTCATTTTACTCCCTTGTTTATTCTTGTTAGTGCTCTGCACCTCCTTCTAGACACACTTCTTATATACTCGGGCTTCCATTAGTGCTTAGGCTTCTCTACCCGTGTATCTACCTGGCCCATTACACCATTCCTTACCACACTGTGTTCATCCTCTGAGAATAACCTAGGGCTCATCCCATCCCTCCTGTCCTGCCTCTGGAAATTATTGGACTGTGCTGTTTTTGCAATCAAACCAGCTCCTTCTAGTTGACCAATCCATCCTGATCTAGTCATTTAATCCATGCTTCCAGCACTTTCTCTGCAATTTCCGTCATGATACTAGCTGAACTCAGGGCTACTCTGTGTACCACTTGGTTATCATAACCTTTTCTTCCCCATTCTATCTGTTCTATGTCTCAATCACTTCTTTTCCTCCTTCCCATTTGCTTTCTTGCTCCCTCTATTAACATTTTTTGAAGATACTTTTAACTAGAGTTGACTCCACAAATTTTACTTCTACCTCCACTACAGTCCCAAATCTAAATGATCAGCTAATGTAACCTAAAGAAAAATCTAGATGAAAGAAACCTAAATTCACTCTATTTTTCTTTTAAATTCCTCTAGGAAGAGAGAAAATGTACACATTTCTCCTGAAGATGACATAAATGACAATTCATTGTTAAATCTCAGAAATTTCAAAAGATACCACCTATAGGTGAGAGAGGAATATTACTTCAAAACTTTTTCTTTGGTGCTGAAGACTGAACTCAGGGCCTTGCACTCTACTACTGGGCTATAGCCCTAACCCTTGGGAACTAAATTTTAAAAGCTCTTTTAAGATAACTGCTAAGAGATGATGGAAAGAAAGGTAACCTAAAAATATTATTATTGAGTTGACTTACTGACAGGCTAGAACTCTCCATCAGCTCTTGGATTATGTCTACTGACAATACTGCAGAGGCAGCCTCTGGTTCCCAATGCAGGAACCTTTGAATTTAACTGATTACAGATGAGTAACCAAACTAATAATATCATAAAAACAAAACAGGCTGTCATGGTTTATGTTTGTGTCCCCCAGGCTTCATGAGTTTGCATTGTTCATATGTGATGGTTCATTGTATAGTGCTTGGATTGATGGTGTCAGTGCTCCACCCACATAGGGGTGGAGCCAGGATGTGATGTAATGGCAGGAAGAAAGTGTGTTTTTCTCTTTGCTGGTTTGAGTTTGCTGCTGGCGGCCACCATGAACTGCAGCCCAGCCATGGCCGCCTGTCTTGGAGCCAACTGAGTGTGGACTGAAACTTCCAAAAGCTGTAAGAAATAAACCTTTCCTTTCCCACTTTGGGCTTCAGGTATTTTGTCTCAGTGATGAGTAAAAAGTAACTAAGACACAGGCAAACCAAAGCACCATCTCTAAACTCTCGTTCCACCCTTCTGATAGTTCTTTTCTCGTATTTGGGGTAGGGTGGACCACATCCCTGGAACAGGATGGGCTATTACAGAAATGTATGATTGTACAGTAATGATGCCCAGATCAACACCATGCACAGAATGCTCTCTCCAGACGTGGAGCTTGCCATATGCGTCATGGTGCTACCGTACTGTGACGTCCTCTGACCTAGCTCCTGTGGTTTTCCCCTGACCACGTGGACATGATAGTATGTGGTTCTGGCTGGAGCTCCAGGAACCTCAGTGTCTCTCTTGCCTGTCTCCACTTGCCTTCTTCCTTGGCGACCAGGCCACTAGGTTTCCTCAGTCTGGCCAGTGTATTTACTCTATTTCAGATTCCTGTCATCCTGGAGTTACTATCAGTCCTCAGAAGTGGGAGACTTGATAAAGCTGCTGTGGGGCTTCTGGTTTTGCTGTACTCTATGATTTTTCTCAGTCACTGAGTAAGGGTTATCTAAATAAAAATCCTGGAATGGGAGTGGGAGTGGTCTGTGGTTGGTGGGGAACATTAGATGCCAGTGGCGGTAGAAACTGAATACATCTTGGTAAACAGAATAAGTAATGAAAGATAGAACACAGGATAATTCAGATAGTATTATTCTGTATAGAAAGGAATTAGAGAATGTTGGAGCATATTTCAACATGAAATACCTTCAGGCTTAGAAAACCTATTACTTTTATAAAATAAAATTTCCTCACAGTCTTTTAGATTAGAACAATAGATTAACTCAAATGGGCAGAAAAAAATATAAATTTTGGTAAAAAATGAAATGCGAGTTACAAAATTTAAGGCTACCTATAATTTGGCATAATAGTGGTTCCCTACCTACCAACTGTTACATCTCTCCATTTCTGCTTGCTAGTTTTATTCAAACATTGGTGGCTAGTCTACAGCCATACCACCCTGAATCACCCAATCTCATCTCAAATACTGGTGGCTCCAAAAACTCCAATACCTTCCTAGGAGGAATTTAACTGGTCTGATTACCAATCAGTGATCTTACTTCCTCTGCCAGATGCTGGCTAACAATAGGTATACAAGCAATTCTAGCCAATGAGACATATGGAGATAGACACGATGAGGGGGGGGGGTAGTCTAGGAAAGCTGTCTTTTAGTTTTAAAATTAAACACAGTTCGATCCCAGGTAGCAAAAATAATAAATAAAATAAAATAAAATACAAGGAAACTATCAAGCCTTTTTCTACATTTGAACATTTTCATAGGGAATCTGTGTGTGATACCCTGGAAAGACACTGAGGTTAGCTCCCTCAGAGTGCTAGCAGAACAACCACAGGCGGAGTGCAGCCGGGCGTAGGACAGAACAAGTCAGGGTTATCAAATCAGTTCTGAATGGTACACCCTGAGGGCTTTTGGTCATACAGGATACATTTCTCAGTGGTCAGTGTACTTCTAGTTGGATTTTCTGTTATCATAGGAAAAACCCTCTACATGGTACTAGACTAGAAAATTCACAATAACAGACCCAGATACAAAACTTTCTGTCCAACGGAATTGTTTTCAACCATTCAAAGAAACTCAGTGTGCTCAGGACTCACTATTCTGTAACATCAGTATCACAGAGAATAAAAACATTAAGAGTACACAACCGGAGTTGAACTCTAAAGAAAGGAGTAGGTAGAAATCAGGGTATTCTGACACACGGAAGGAGGAAAGGGGTAGCGTGAGAGAACGCTGCCTAAATGTAGTTCTCATTTGTTTTACTAAAACAGAATGTAACAGCAGCTATGACATGGCAGAACTAAGCTGCCTCAGCAATTCTGGCACAAGTGCACACTGATAAAAATAGGGAGCCACTGTTAGAAGTCTTAACCTAGAGGAAACATTTATAATACTTTCCTTTCCTTTCTTTTTTTGCCTTTTTTTTTTTTTTTCATTGGTACCAGGGATCAAACTCAGGACCACGGGCTTATGCCACTGAGCTAAATCCCCAGCCCCGACTTTACTTTCAAAAAACCTACATTCAAAACTCAGGACAAAACAAGTGTGTAGGACTGATAACCATATTACTAAGTTTTTGTTGGATCATTGAGCAGAACTGTTGGCAGTGTCACTATTTGAATGTCATTTTACATACTTTAATTTTGTAACCTGAACAGCTATTTCTAAGATGACAATATGTAACTTATCAACTGGTGATTTCTTACCATTTATTTTTCTGTAATTCTGTATTATTTCTACCCTTTTTTATCTCCATGTATTTTTTTCTTTCTCTTTAAATAAAACAAACAAACAAAAAAAACAAACAAAAAACAAAAAACTAAGGACAGCAAGAAACTTGTGGTTAAATGTTTCAAAAACCAAAAAGAGAAAATCCTATATTCCTAGAAGAATTTTAGCCTTCAAAAGTTGACGAGAAAAATTTAAGAGACACAACTAATTTGGGATTAATGAATAACTGACCGAGGTGCCGCTGGCCAAACAGAGTGAGTAGCTGAAGTCGAATCTGACTAATTAAAGATTTCTAATGGCACACACTCTTCTGTAAATTACATCACAGGCACAAGTTAATAAGACAACCAACTATGGTAGAACTGTGAATCTATGCAACATAATAGTCTTTAGTCTTCTGGTAAATTACTCACTTTCACTTTGCAAAGTTACCAGTGGAAGTTTAAAAGGATTCTTGGTAAGCACTCTACTTACCTCTGTTTCAGGGCTGAGATTTCCGTAGGTTCTGGCTCAAGTACTTCATAGGCCAAGTTCACATCCTCTGTCTCCCGAAGCAATGCATAAATGGGCTCAATTTGTTCATTAAACCTTGCCAAAAGTGTGCGTGCATCTTTTTTGGGCATTGCTGATTCATCTTCTTCTACTTCTGTATGGCAAAACGTACAGCGGAAAGTTCCTACAGAGAAAATAAAAGTCTCTGATCAGCAGAGTAAAAATCATTCAGATAGAATTTTAGCAGCTATATTCCTGTACCTCCTTCGAACATTTTACTAAAATTTTTCAATAAGTAAATAGTAGAGAAAATTTTATGTTTTGCTGTTTTTGGGGGGTTTTTGTACCAGGAATTGAACTCAAGACTGTGCTTGCCAGGCAGGGCTTATGCCACTGAGCTGTATCCCCAGTCCAGCTGGAGGAATTTTACAGTGAACATCCATGTGCCCAGTAACTGAATTCTATAGTCAACTAACATTTTGCTTTCTTAATCAAATATCTACTCATCTTTCTGTCTGTTATTTTTGATGTATTTCAAAGTAACTTTATATCCTGAATAGTTTTAATCATATTTCTAAGATATGTATACTGATTTTATCTTAAAAGCAAATTCTTTATAACTGCTCCCTATACTTGCACCCTTTCTGAAAAGCTTTCTTTTCACACATTACATACAAATTAGCATCTGAGGTAGGTTAGGAAACAATAAAGACCAGCCAAAAAAAGACCCAAGAAAATCAAAATTGTAAGATTCTTAAGTTTTGTGTCTTAAAGCTACAGTTAAATATAATTTTAAAATTTCAATTTTCTTATCTCTTTTTTACCTTTTTATTTTTTCTATTCTCCTTCAGATCTCTATTATGGGGAAAGCTAAATAAATACCTAAAACTGAAAACTTCTGTTCGTCTTGTACAGTATATTATCACAAGGCTATTCTTTTTTTGTGTGTGTCTTTTTCATATTTATCGGTACCGGGGACTGAATTCACGACTGCCTGCTTGCAAGGCAGGTGCTTACGCCGCTGAGCTAAATCCCCAGCCCACAAGGCTATTTCTTTATACATATTAATCACTTATATCTAAGCAAATCAATCCATTCCCAAAACTAAATTACAGGAAATCTTTTCCACATTTCTCATATCCAACCTAGAGCAGTAACAATTCTTTTAAAATGCCCCAGATTTTTCATTTCTACCGTGATTTCAATAATCCAGACCACCAGTAATTAGCTTAAAAGGTCTTCCTAGATCCTTGATCCGCCTCTTCCTAGATCCGCCTCTTCCTAGATCCGCCTCTAGGTGCTCTTCCAACTTTCTTATGCCACCACTTTTATCATCGTCCTGCTCTAAATTCCACTTCCAACATCTATAGCATAAAAATCTAAATTTCTCATCCTGTACTGAAGACCCTATAAAAATTGGCCTCAACATATCATAATCCACCTGTAATCATTTACCTATCAACATAAGACAAACAACTGAGATTAGTATTTATTTTGTACAGTGCTTTCGGTTTCTAAAATACTTCCAGTGTATTTTTTGACCCTTATGCCAATCCTGTAAAGCAGTATTAGAACTAAGACTCCTAGGAATTTGTGATTTGTCCAAAGACACATAGCTAATAGAAGGAAACCACAGCAGCTATTGAATGTTTATAAAGTGCCAGGTAGCATCAGTTCCCTGAAGGATGTACTATTATTGCCTATTTATATGAGTAAAATACAGAAGTTCTAATGGAATCATTAGTCTTTTAAGTACTTAGTGCCCAGCACATAGCAAGTACTTAAACATTCAGCTTTAAAAGATCCCATATACTACTAGTATATAATCCTATTTCTAGTCTCCCTTCTCCACGTAGCAAAAAATAATAGTAAAGATGCATTGCTTATTAATCCCCTTCAATACACTTGACTCTGGGGCCGGGGTTTAGCTCAGTGGCCTAAGTGCCTGCTTGGCAAACAAGAGGCTGTGAGTTCAATCCCCGGTACCAAAACAAAACAAAAACAAAAACAAATCCACTTCCCCTCACTTCAAATACACATATCCCATTATTCTTGGCACTTTCTAAAATATTTCTGGAGGACCTCTTTTGTGGATATCAACAGTTGTACTGTCATGGCTGCCTTGATATCCTGAATTGATTAAAAAATGTTTACCTTTTTATAGTCATTTTGACTTTGGAAAGAGCCAGAAATTATACAGTGCCAGATCCAGGGAATAAGGTGAATGATGACACACAGTGACGTTTTTATTAGCTTGTTTTTCTGTTGGAGAGCCCTCAGCAACAGCAGTCACCATATTTTTGACCACAACTCATAAAGACACTTCTGAAAGGGGACTTCCAAAACTGCTTCACAAACTGGCAAGAGCAATGGAACAAGTGCATTTGAACCGAAGAGAAAGTACTATAAGGGAGATTAATGCCCATGTGCCTTTTACTGTAATAGCTTTATCAAATGTAAACATTTATTATATTATTCTGATCACCCTTTGCACACCCTAAAACATTCTTCCATCTTCCTGCTATTTAAATGCTACTTAATTTCCAGTGTTGGGACTGGGAGGACCCAACAAGAAGCCAACTAGCCTTCTGGTAAACTGCACAAGTTCCAGGAAGAGAAAAATGAGTGCCTCCTGAGAATCAGCCATGCTAGGATCAGGAGGACCCAACAAGAAGCCAATGAACCTTTCTAGTAAGCTGCGCAAGCTGCGAGGGTTCCAGGAAGAGAAAAGTCAGATAGCACCTACCGTGGGCCTCATGGTGCTATCAAACACCACCCCCATACAGCCCCCTCTCCAAGTAGCCTGTTCCAAGGACAGGCTGAGCTGACAGCAACTAAGGTGTGTAAAGCGAATAAATACTTACACTGTTTGTTTGATTTTGCAGCACTAGGCCTACGATCTGAGCCTCTCTTGGGGGGATGGCAGGATGCAATATAGCAAAAATGGGGGATTTCCTTCTATCTTGTCTTTGAAATCCAATATTGTTTTCACTGTTTTGCTTTGTTCTCATTAACTGTTTTGCTTTATTCACTATTCTGCTTTGATTGGTTTCATTCTGTTATGTTTTTGGTTTGATTTTACTATACCTGATGGAATGGATAACTATTGTGAAGATAACAAGATATACTATGGTAGCTATTGTTTTCCTAGTATCCTACTTTGAAGTTCTGTACCAATTTTGCTGCTTTGTTTTGATTAGCTTTATTCTGTTTTGTTTTGTTGGATTTTACTATCTTTAAAATAACATAAATAAATAAAACAAATGCGACCTAATTTTCTAACACAAATAAATGAGAGAAAAGTGGACCTCACAGCTAGTAAGTGGTATTATTCTATCAAAGAGAATCTCATAATTCACCAACATCAGATAAGGTCCTGCAACCATGACGGAAATGAGGTAAACCCAGCTAGCATGGAATAAATTTTGACAGGTAAAAACTAGGACTCTCTACATACTACACACACAAACAAACACAAACCCATCATTTAGATTTCTAGATCTTCACCAATTACAGTTTATTCTTATTACTTGGCAGGGATGATACACTAAGATAGCCAGTGACAGAATTATCACATATTGAAAGCATCTATCCCAGAGCAAATCTCCGCTACTTCCTCTAATCTTCCCTGAAATAATCCAACAAAAGTCCAAATTCTCTAAGTCTGTGTAGCACCATCTTACTGACATAGCACCATCTTACCTATGGTAAGTGGCTTCTCTTGCTACAAAAAGCATTCATAAATTCAACTTGGCAAAAGGCCTGAATATCATATCTTTGAAGACGATCATCACAGATTCTAGCTTAAACAACTGGACAAGGATTCCACTTACTAGGATAAAGAGAGGAACATGTTCTCTTTTTTTGTAATATCAGTGGCTTTAGACATATGAAGCCACATTGCCCACAACTATTAAAAAGGTATAGTTTTAGACTAGAAATAAAGATATGAGTAAAACAGTAACAACAGAAGCCTAATTAGATCAGACAATTTAAAAAAAGATGAAGGAGAGTGGAAAGAATAGGCAGTCAAGATAGAAATCTAAGGAAAGAGCAATCCTTGGGGTCCAAGAGATGGAGGAAAGGGAACAAAAAATATGTCATGTGCATGGGCCAAATCGCCACAATAAATGTAATTATTATGTAGTGCAAATATCTACTAGAAAGGGCTGGAAAAAGAAAAAGAGGAGGAGGAGCAGGAAGAGAAAATAATGACACACATGGAGGGACAGGATGATATTTGAAGAAAAAGGTAATTCTTTTTCAAACAAGACTTGAGAGCAAACTTTTATATTTAGTAACACAAGATAAGTAATGAATGACTAGAGAAGTTTTAGATGGGTGCCACACAGAATTATTCTTTAACTGTTCTAGGTGGTCTTAGCTGTCTCTCAGCAGAAAAAAAATGTATATACTGTATGTGAGAATTAAATGATAAAACCTTATAAAATCAGATTGAATATGGCACTCAAGTACATGCCAAATTAAAAAAAAAAAAAAAAACACTGCTAATGGGCCTTAGGCTGACTGCTGCAGGCTGTAAGTACCTTAGAAGACATGCTATAGGTTAGAAGTTTCAAAATTTTGTTTTTAAAGGAAGAAATCCTATTCATATAAAAAAGTAATAAATATGTAAGCATAAAAGTGCTCTAGTAGAAGCACAGACAGCCAAGAGAAAAATACTCTAACACTCTCATTATGTACCAGCCTCCTCTCTACCCAAAATGCACATCCTTCAGTCAAATGCTATTCTTCTCACATAGTTCAGCTCTTTATGCAGAAGTGAGGCTTTCCCTAGGCACACTATCTACAATTTCAACACTGTCCTGTTCCTCTACCCAGCAGTCTTACCTTTTTTCTTGAGTTTTAGTATCCAACATATTATTTTACTATTTAACTAACTTATTAGTTTATCACCTTTATATATTCATGTTGTATCCAAATTGTTAATACCATCATTCTGTAGAAAAAAAATCTCAGAATGACTGTCTTTTAACTTGAAAAAAAATTATTTTCATAAGAAATAGGATACAAAACCATCTAGGTGGGGTACCACCTAGATAACTTTCTTTCAAATAAAGAGCAATTATCTACATTTTGGCAAAACCTGGCCCTTTTCCCTGTACTGATATGTACAAAGCTGGCTGGGCCATTTCTTTATCCCTTCAAGTGGCTTTGAGCAAT